ATTTCTGGGGCTGTTTGTGTGTGTGTGTATGTGTTTAACAATATGTATTTATCAATAATTCCTAGATCAGCAATGCTGTTTTTAACTTTTTTTTTTTTTTTTTTGTCTTCACAAACAGAACTCTTAGAATATAGACTCAGGGCTGGGCAGTGGTGGCACATACCTTCCATCCTGCCTCTTGAGTGCTGGGAACAAAGGTGCACCACTGAGTCTGGCCTGAGATGGTCTTAGCGTGGAGCCCAAGGCTGTCTTCACAGCGATCCTCTCGTCTCACGCTCCCCAGTGCTGGGATTACAAGCATGCATGCCATGTCTAGCTGGATTTCTGTTTTAAATTTTGGAAGCTATGGCCTACATTCTCACTGGTAGCAATTGTCCTGGGAGTAGCATGGCTTCTCGCTCTGTGTTGAATGAAGCCTGTCTTCAGCATCAACCCAGCTGCTTGCTGCTCTGCCTTAGCCTTCATTCTCCACTCTAAGGACCTGCTGGGGTGAAACTTAAGGTCTTCTCAGGCCATTTGCTCACCAGGCACCTCGCTGTGCCTGCCTGTGACTTTCTGAATTCCTTGAAATTTGAGGAAGCTTTTCAGTGCGCCATAAAAAATCCCTTCCAGTTCTTCCTGCTGGATGTTGAGCTACTGTTTGCCTCACCACTAATCTTCACTCCACACAGCTGACATTCATTTGTCTCTCAGTGTCTTAGAGAATGCACCTTGACAGGAGCCTTTCCCACCTGGGATTTCTGTTAGGGAAAACACAGACCCAGCCTTGGCCTCAGTCCTCTGGGCTGTTCCCAGATGTGTTAAAACAGGTAAAGATAATTCTTTTAGAACAAGGTCTGCTTTCCCTCCCTCCCGAGCCAGTCGCCTGGGTCCTCACAACCACCGATGTATGGACTGATTCTGAGGCTGCAGCAAAATCCCTGAGGTAAAAACTCACGTGGAGGAAAAGTTTATTTTGGCCCACGGTTTCAGAAGTTTCAGTCCTTGGTGATTTGGCCCCATGTCTTTGGTCCTGTGGCAGGGAGAATATCAGAGGCAGAGGAGGTAGATATGCTGTTGTTTGGTGGGAAGGAAGATAAATGAGGACAGACTTGAGTCCTAAGATCCCTTTGGAAGGCCTGGCCCCCATGATCTATCTTTTTTCCACTAGGCCCCACTTCCTAATATTTTCACTTCTGATAGCACCACAGGCTGGTGATCAAGAGTCAACACAAGAAGCCCAGCACTCCAGAGGTTGAGGCAGGGGGATCTCTGTGAGTTCCAGGGCATTCTGGGCTAAATAGTCTCAAAAAAACCAAAAACAAGCCATGCGGTGGTGGTGCTCACCTCCAATCCCAGCACTTGGGAGTAGAGGCAGGTGGATTTCTGAGTTTGAGGCCAGCCTGGTCTACAGACAGAGTTCCAGGACGGCTAGGACTACACAGAGAAACCCTGTCTCAAAACATGCAAAACTCCAAAACAAAGACTCCACACACAGTCCTTGGAGACATTTAAGATCCAAGCTGAAACAACCAGCCACCAACCCCAGGAAGGGAACGGGACAAAGATAGGTAAAATACTACAAAGATTTCATATCTTTTTTAGTTGCCTTAACTTTTTTGCTAGAAAAAAATGGTTTCATTTATTATTCATTGGCAAAACTCTTTTAAAACAAATAAACACAGGCTGGTGGGATGCAGGTATAGGCACCTTCTGCCGAGCTTGATGACCTGAGTTTGATTCCTGGAACCCACATGGCAGAAGGAGAGAGCCAGCTCCCAAGAGATTTCCTCTGGTCTCTATGTGCATTCTGTGTCACGCATGTGCCTGCCCTCCCATGCATGGTATACAACAGCCACAGAGAAAACAAAAACTCAAACCCACAAGCAGATAGGTGAAATGAAAAAATAAACACACAAGTCAGTATTCTTTTCCTTAAATGAGCAGCATTGCTCCTTCTGAGACATTCAGTAAAAATCTCTGTCTGTTTCTGTCCCTATCTCTGTATGTGTGTGTGTATGTGTGGGTGTGCATGTATGCCTATAGGTGTGTTTGTGTGTGTATGTATGTATGTGCAGCTGTGTGTGTATGTGTGTTCAGATGTGTGTACAGGTATGTTTGTGTGTGTGCATATGTGTGCAGGTGAGTGTATGTGCGTGTATATGTATGAATAGGCCAGAAGTTGACTGTAGGTGTTTTCCCTGTTATTATCCACATTATTTTCAGGACAGGGTCTCTCACTGAACCTGGCACTCACCAGCTCGACTGGACTGTCCGAGCAGGGAGCCAGCCTGGGATCTGGCCATCTGTGCCCTCAGTGCTGGGATACAGGTAGGCACTGCCATGCCCAGCTTTACCTCCACTGCTGGGGACCTGAACTCGGGACCTCGTGCTTACACAGAAAGTACTCTACCCACTGAGCATCTTAAAAGTTTGCCTCCGAGTTTTATTGGCTTTTGGCACTTTCATTCCACTCTGCCCAAGAAGTCCACAGCAACAGACAAATCTCGGGGTTCAGGCATACAAAGCCTTCTCCAAAAAGTGTGGCTGTACAGCCAGTGCAGAGGTGCACGCTTTTAATCCCAGCACTCGGGAGGCAGAGCCAGGGAGAGCTCTGTGAGCTGGAGGCCAGCCTGGTCTGCGTAATGAGTTTTGAGGACAGCCAGAAATACATGTTAGAGATGCCGCGTCTCGACAGAACAAAACAGCCTGGCTGTATCAGGGCTCAAGGGCGGTTAGCACCTGCAGATTCACCTGCCATGCTGTCTTGGAGTCCTTGCCCTACACAGTCCTGGTTCCTTCCAGCCGCTCCCCTCTGAGGACTTCACCGCTGGTCACTGCCTCTACTCCCAGGAGAACTTCAGTTTACTCCTCTGTAAAGCAGGGCTAAAGAAGGGAGAAGCTTGACTCTTTAGCACAGTGGCTCTCAACATGGGGGTCAAGAACCTTTTGAGGGTCGAACAGCTCTTTTACAGGGGTCAGCTATCAGAAAACAGACCATCAGAAAACAGATATCAGCCCAGCAGGTGCTGGCACACGCCTTTGTGCCCAGCACTCAGGGAGGCAGAGGCAGGCAGATATCTGTGAGTTCCAGGCCAGGACAGCCAAGGCTACACAGTGAAACCTTGTCTTGAGAAAGGAAGGAAGGAAGGAAGGAAGGAAGGAAGGAAGGAAGGAAGGAAGGAAGGAAGGAAGGAAGGGGGGGAAAAAGAAAGAAGGAAAGAAAAAAAGAAAGGAAAGAACAGATATTTACAATTTGTAAAATGTACAACTGTAAAATGAATTTACAATTCATAATAGTAAAATGACAGTTAAGAAGTACCAACAAAAGTAACTTTATGGTTGGTGGGGGTTCTGAAACGTGAATGTCATTCTGGAGCCAGGGTTGGCTTGTTCCCTTCGGGGCCTCCAGCCACTGATTAGTACAGGTGCTGGACTCAAAGGAATGAGGCTTAGCTGGGCGGGTGAGTCTGCAGGATCCTGATTCCTGAATGCCCGAGGGGTTTGGACATATCTGGCACAGTTCTTCTAGTGACACAGCTCTCTTTATTGGGGGGGGGGGGGGGGGGGGGGCAGGGTAAAGGCTATATAAACCTTGGGGAAGTGGGAGGGTTTTCGGGTTTTTGGCTGGGGCTGAGGTGCTGGGAATGCTTCATTTGCATGGAGAGGAATTCCAGGTGCCAGCTGGACAAGTCCTTGTCACCAGGCTACGTGACTATCTCAAGGATGTCGCAGGTAGGGGATCACAAGACTACGTGCCCCAGGGCATGCAGACACAGGACAGGGAAGGAGTGATTTTTATTCTGCTACTCTCAAGACTGAGAGCTTCAGCCATGTGCGGTGGCACACCCCGAGAGGCAGAGGCAGGGGGGTCTCTGAGTTTGAGGCCGGTGTGGTCTGCAAAGTGAGTCCAGGACAGCCAAGGCTACACAGAGAAACCCTGTCTTGAAAAAACAAAAACAAACAAAGCAGCCTCTGGTCTGATGCAACAGTTGGGTGGGAAGATGAAATTATTTTTTCTTTTTTAACCTCCTTTTTTAAAAGATTTACTTTATGTATATGAGTGCTCTATCTGCATGTGCACCTGCACGCCAGAAGAGGGCATCAGATCATGTTATAGATGGCTGTGAGCCACCATGTGGTTGCCAGGAATTGAACTCAGGACCTCTTGAGGCTGCCTGGCCTCAGTGGAGGGATGGGTACTTTCCTGACCCCATCTGCAAGGCCTAGAGAGTTCTCTGGAGGAACAGACTCAGCGAGCATGGGGACATAGTCCCACCAGCCTCGGTCAGCTCTTGGTCTTTACTTGAGGTCTACCTTGTGGCTTATTTCCACCTTCAAAGTCATACCTTGCCTTACCGTCCTCTAAGATAGCAAGATCCTGTGGCTTCCACGTGTGTGCCCTGTACTGGCTACACAAATGTTCATGGAAGGCAGAGGGTAGGAAACGTTACTGGGCAAGACAGTTGGCACATGTGTGCAAAGATGAAGGAGACCAGTTCTCCACTCCTCAGGGACCCTGGCAAGATTGCTCGAGTCCTGCTCAGGCTGACTGCCTCACTGAGGCTAAGATTCCTCGCAACGAGGAGGAACACCGGGAGCAGAAGCAGATGCAGGGTAGAGCTGGGCTTCAGGAAAGGGGACAGCAGCGGCTAGATACTCAGCCAAGTTCCCTGCTCGGAGTACAAAGCCACTGCTTCCTATACTCCAGGTTCATTTATTTTTCCTTGGTGGGCATGAGTGTTTACCTGCACACATGGATGAACACCGTGTTTGTGCCTGGCACCCACAGAGCCCACAAGAGGGTGTTGGATCCCCTGGGACTGGAGTTCCAGGGTTTCTAGTCACCATATGAGTGCTGGGAATCAAACCTGGGTGCTTCAGAAGGACAGCTTCTTGGCCTCCTAAGCCGTCAAAGCCAGCGCACAGCCCTCTGCCCCTTCCAGAATCTGCCAACTCACTCTGCCCCACCCAGTTTACTGAGGCCAACCGAGCAAGCAGAACATTCCAGAAAACCAGCATAGAAATGAATGGTTTTTATTGGACTTGGAAACAGGGTCAGAGGAGAAACGGGGTGAAAAGATGGTAGCAAGTGCCCGGGGCACCTGCCTGGATACCTTGGAGGAAGAGAAGCAAGTGGTGGGCCAGAGGTGGGGGTGGGGTCAGCACCTACAAGGAGGGAGATGAAGGCCTTAGCTTCACTCTTTGATGGACCAGAACATCAGGGATGTTCCGGGGACCTGGCTGACGCTTCTGTGAGCGGCTGCAGGAAACGGTGCGGACTGTAAAGCGCAGTGCACAGCCCGGCAGGCTAACTGCCTTCCCGTTAGACGGGCCCGTCCGGATTCTAGGGAGGACTGACTGTGAAAGAGCACTGTTGGAGGCGCAGAGGTCAGTCCTCTGAGCTGTCTCTTCCCCTCAGCTTCCAGGACGCCTCATGTGCTCGCCAGGGCCTTGGGGGGCCAGTAGGGGAGAAGCCATTCTGGAGCTGGCTGCCATCCCCACTCAGGCACAGCGAAGACCACCAGGGCATCGTCAGCAAGGCCTATAGGTGGCTTTGATCCCTGGGATCACTGGATGGTTTGATGAACAGACATAGTCCCGGTAGCAAGGAAGGGCCCTGGGCCTGTGAGCTCTTTCCCCAATTCATGCCTTCCAAAATGCTCTCTTATGTGCCTCAGAAAGGTCCATCTCTCTATGTCCCGTTTCACTCCTGGGTGAGGGGCAGAATGACCACTGGTGGAGTCTTCCTCACCATATGCAATGTGGCTACCAGCCAAGGTTCTGTCCCCTCCTGGTACCCACAGACCGAGAGGCCCTGTGTAGCGGAGGTCCTTCCCCTGGGAGCGTCCTGGCTCTGGGAGCAGAGCTGGGAGGAGGACTGTGGGGAGCACTGGGACCCCTTAGAGTAAAGCCTTGAAGAGGAAGGACAGAGAGGCCCCGCAGGAGAGCCCCAGGGCCAGGAAGAAGGTCATGAGGGCCCCGGCCACTTCCCTCTCATGCGGCAGCACCTGCCTAGAACACACAGAGACAGGAACTTAGAAAAAACGCCAGGCCTAACCTTAGACCCAGCTTCTGGGCCCTCTGCTGCCCCTTGGCACTGGAGTTCTAGCCTGGGTCTGACCTCACCCTCTGCCACTGTAACCTGGCCTTTCTCTGGGCTCAGTCTCCTCCATTGTAAAATGAAGTTGCTGGAAAAAGGACATCTTTCAGGACTTTCAGGATCTGGCTTCGTAGGGTACTAGATTCCGTCACCGTATTTCTCAACAAAATGTCCTCACCCAGTTCTTGCCATGCTTACTCTCCTGAGAGTCCAGCTCTATTGCCCCTGTGGGAAATGGCTGGTCACCTGGACAGGTAACCGCCCCAGCTCCTGGCCTGGGATAAGCAAATAGTGAAGGCCTGTCCCACAGGATGGTGCCAGAGATCTTGGGACAGCTATCTAGGGTCGTGGTCTGCCTTTCCAGATAGCCCTCCTCAAAGAGCCGGGCCCTCCCCATCACCGCACCCAACCCTTTGCTTCCCAGACCTGGGCGCCAGGCACATGGTGAGAGACACCAAATAGCCGTTGGAAACGGCGAAGAGCAGCATAAATGTGATGAAGTAGGCGTCCTGCCAGAAGATGATGGGCAGCCGGGCACGCTCGGGCACATGGCACAGCATGAAGAGTGGCACAAACAGGAAGCGCAGGCACACCAGCAGGGGCAGCAGCCGGCTGTCCTCATCTGGCTGTGACAGAAGCTCAGGTGAGTGCGGGCCCTGCAGCTAGGTGGGGTTATGCCGCAGGTGCCCTAGGAGGCCGGGAGAGGCCATCTAACCCCCTGGAGCTACAGTGAGCAGAGTGAGACAGATGAGGGAAACTAGACTCAAGGCTTCTGGGAAAGCAGCTAGTGCTCTTAACCCCTGGGCCATCTCTCCAGCCCCTGAGCAATTCTCTATAACAAGAGCATCCGAAACTCAGTCTGCTAGCTTTTGTGAAAGCACAGTCAGATTACTTACTGTGCATCAGAGCACCGGCCTGTATTTCTCCAACCTAACTACAAGTAGAAAGCACCGGCCAATGTCTGGGATGAGAATCTCAGCAGGTGGGAGGCTGGGTCTCCAGGCTGGGTCCCCACTCAGGCTGCTGCTGATAATATTTGTTACACTCCGAAGGGAGCTTTCATGTAAGGAAACAACACCCCATGGACAGTGAAAGGGTTAGGCCAACTTTGTAACCTATATATCTTCTAAAGCCTATAGTTTTGAGTTTTAGATCCAGGTTAAGCTAAAGCCTCTTAGTACCTTTCCAGAGAATGGAGGAATGTGACCCTATCTGTGAGGACAGATATAAAAAAAAGCAAGCAAGCAATGACCTTCAGTCAGCAAAAAAAGGACCAGACCCTTGTCTTCAAGATAGTGTTTCTTAGCAATGAACCCGGATGGCCTCAATCCTTCTTCTGAGTAGCTCCTGACCTCCAGCCAAATCTTCAAGGATGAGCTAACCACCCCACCTTCAATTGCAGCTGCATCCACACTTGGCAGGACTGGCCAAGCTTGAGCACCTAAGACTAACCAATTATCTTACTTTATAGCTTCCTCATCCAATCCTAAATTGCCAAAACTGCAACTTCAAATTTCCCGCAATTTTTCTTTTAAAAACCTAAAGCCTTTGTCTCCCGGTGCCACTCTTTGCTGACCGGCAGGGGTGACCCCATTGCACAATGGTTAAATTAAACCTCTTGCTTTTGCGACGAGTCTTGGTCTGGGGGAGTTTCTGGGAAGGGCATGATCTTGAACTCCTGAGCTGTGAGACCCCAGGTCTTACAACAGCAGTCCCTTAAGAATCACGTCAATTCCTCATCAGGTACAAGAACCTCCACTGCCCGAGGGCTGGGCTGGGGGCTGGGGACATGGTACTTCCCCAGATGTGGTGGCTTCTCCTCTGGAGGAACGCACTGCCACCCTGGCTGCCCATTCCAGGGCCAGTCACCTACTGCCAGTTGGAGAGCTGACCGATGTCAGGTCGGGGGTACTACTGAAAGTCACCTTTCTGTGTTCCTCAGTACCCTTTGGTCCCCAGCTACTTCCCAAACTTCTGGCTGGTTCAGCCCAGACAAGCTCACCCACAGGAAGTATGAGGTCAGGCTCCGGCCCAGCCAATCCATGATGTTGAAGAGCAGGAAGCAGCAGATGGGGTTGAAGAACTGACCTTCGGAAGAGAGAGCCGACGGTCACCCCCACCCCCACCTGCCGCCTTCCCTCACTCCCCCAGCCTCTGCTTCGCCCCAGCACTCACTCCACTTCCCAGGGCTGGTGGAGCTGGTCACCATGGCTGTGATGGCAGGAAAGACCGACAGGGTGACTGTGAAGACCAACACAAGGCACAGCGCCGTCAGCCAGATCTGGGAGCCGGAGGCAGGGGTGTGAGTGGGCAGGGCAGCGCCATGTCCACCACGCAGCCCGACCACACCCCTGCTGCTGCAGCCCTGCCCACTCTGTTCCTACCTCCATGACCCAACAACCCGAGGGAGTAAGCACTAAGGTCCAATTTTCTCCCAGGCTGGAGAAAATGGCCATGGGTGGATGGTTAGGAGCTACCTTTTAGCTGGACCTTCCAAAAGACAACGAACCTTCCGGAAGACAACGAAGACTGAAGGTTTTCCTGGCTTCAGTGGCTCATCCAGCTCCGGCTCCTTCTCAGGGTCAAGATCCAGAGTTGGGCCTGCCTGCTGGGGGCTGATGGGGATCCCATTCTTCTCATCTATGGGAGAGGGCAGGCCCATGACTCAAACTCCCAAAAGCAAGGAGATCCTCAGTGGTGAAAAAAGTGACTCTTTCCAGCCTCGTCCAGGAGAGGGGGGTTAATAGTAATGATAGCCTGCTTATTCACTTATTAATGGTGGTGTTGGGGATTGACCCACGGTGTCTTGAAGTCACTGAATTACATCTCAGCACTTGTTTGTTTTTGTTGTTTGTTTTTGAAGACAGGATCTCTTTCTAGCCCAGGCTGGCCTAGAACTAACTCTTTTACCTAGCCTGACCTCTGATTTGCTATTCCCCTGCCCATGTGCCAAGCAATGACTTAAGCATCTTGGACAGATCCTCTCATTGTCACTTTACAATGAAGAAATAGAGGCTAAGCTGGGCATGATGGCAAATGCCTTTAGTCTCAGCACCCAGAGGTAGGCAGATTTCGGTGTCTTGCTTATACAGAAAGACCCTGTTGCCCATAACCAACACCAACAAAAAAGAGGAAATGGAGAATATAGCAATTGAATGATTGGCCCAAGGCAGTAGAGTTTAGAGATTATGGATCCAAAGACCTGGCTGCTGTTACTCCATTTTGTTCAAGAGGAAACAGAACCATAGGGTAGCAGGGACGGCTTCCCTTCATGACCTGCCTCTACTCATACAAGGCTCAAAGAGATGGGGGCTGTAGAGGAGACAGAAGGGAATACTTCCCAGGAGAGCCTATTTGAACTTCCTCTGTGTCTCCCCATATCCCCTGCAGGGTCCTGGGGCTTACCGGCTTGGAGGAGTTCAGCTTTGGTTTCTAGCTCCTGAGCTGGGGCCTGGGACAGCTTCTTGACCAAGTAGTATCGGGCAAACTCCTGCAGAAGGATCAGAAAGTCAGTCCTGCCCAAGGCCTTCCTGTATATCCCCTCCACACCCTTGGCTGGGACGCTGAGGTCCCTCAACAGTCAGCATCCCCTTTAAGGAGATCAGGGTTGAATGAGGTCTCATCTCTCTCCCTTGGCCTTTCCCAGAGCTTTATCCTAAATTCCCTAAGGTGGGCCAGCTAGCCCAGTAGCAGGCTTACCAGATGGGGCAGGCTAAGGTAACATATGATGGAGAGGAGGATGCCCACACAGGGTGTGATGAAGTACCCAAGGGCAGAGGTCTGGGCATCCACGCCACCTGTGACAGAAACTTTAGCTGCAGAGGAGACCCAAGTTGAACAGTCCCCCAGTTTCCTGTAGCGTCGTGCAGTCATTCTCCCTCAGTGCAAAGCCCAAGAGCCCTGCCCCTCTGTCTCCACTTCTCCATCTCTCCTGCCTCCACCCATAACCCAGGCATCATCCTCCTGTGTCCCCTCCTTTGTTCCCCAGACTTTAGAGAGGATACTCAGGTGGACTCACTGGCCATGGACATGAGCATAGCAAGGGCAGCGAAGATCCCAGCCAGGCCCTGGCCACTGAGGAAGAGAGTGCTGTAGGTAGAAGGCATGGTACCCAGCTGCCCAAAAAGGCTGCCTTGAAGCACTGCACAGAAGGCTGTAGAGAGAGACAGGGAGGGGCCAATACTCAGTAGCATCAGGAGGATCCACAAGGTGTACGGGAAACCAGTCTAGGCTAGGTGGGTGTGGGTTTTCCTGTGGACTTAGGGCAGTCTAGAAACACACACCCCCCCGCCACACACACACACTTATTCTTCTCTTTCTCTTATTATTCTAATTATTATTATTTTGAGACCTCACCGTGTAGCCTTGGCTAGCCTGGGAGTCATCATATAGATCAGGCTGGTCCTGAACTCACAGAGATCTGCCTGCCTCGCTGGGATTAAAAGTTATGCACCACCATACTCAGCCCATTTCTCTTGATTAGGAGGGTTTCTGAGTAGGAGGCCTGCCTAGGTTATCAGGGTCTGAGACAAGTGACTTTTCCTCTCTCTGGGCTCAGATTCTTCTTTGGGGATTTGGGTGATAATGGTATTGTCTTTCCTACAAGGATCTGCTGGGCTGTTGCAGAACAAGGAAGAGGTGGGGAACCGGGAGGGAAATATGCTTACAGTTGATGAACCAGACGGACGCCATGGTGATGGAAAAGAACAGCCCGGGGCTCAAGTCCACCTTTACCAGGGCTGCTGTCAGGGCAAAGAGCAGTAGGATGGCCAGCAGGCTGCCCAGAATACGCACCGACTCAGGGATGCTGTTCAGAAGGGGCAGAGGACATCAGGTGGCCGGGCAGGGGAAGGTGGGCATAGGGTCAGGGCAGTGGAGCTGGAGTGATGAGGTGAAGGCAGGGAAAGGACAGGAGCAGGAGGTGATCCTGACCTCTGTGACTATCTCCACATGGAGGTTGGGGATCTTACCACTGATACAAGAAGGAGTTGAGGAGCGTGAAGAGCAGTAGAGGCAGCTGGGACAGCAGTGTCACCCAGTTGTTGAAATTGAAAGTGTCTGTGGGACTGGTGTGGTTGGTGCTCAGGGTCTCAGCGGTGCTGTTGGCCCCTGCCAACCGTGCCTGGAAGTACTGTCAGACAGGGAGATAGCGCAGGGTCAGGAAGCACTTCCCTTCCCACCTCCCCACACTTCCGTTAAAATCATTGATGGTTTGGTTAAAATCTGTGGGACTGTCTTTGCACTGTCCCCAGGACCTGGCACACAGGCGGAGCTAGAGGGGTACACACTGAATTACACGGCTGGAGTCTGCCCCAGCCTCCGTTCCCGTCCCTGTAACAGCCTCTACACTTAATTCACTCCGTGGGTATATCTTGAACACCTAGGCCCCAGCTTAGGTGCTAGGCCACTGCCTACGTTGTCCTGGGCACACATCTCCCGCCACTCCCCTGCATAACTTCCCACGGCCCGCAAGGCAGACCTGACGCTTTAGGATCTTCTAGAATCTGATCCCAGACTCCCTCAGATTCCCTTTCTTGTCTGTCTTCTGCTCCACTCTGCTAAACTCCAGGCTCTATCTAGATCTTTCTCTAAATAGGCTCTTCTTTGGCTCCGCTCTGAATTCCCTCTCCCCGACCTTTCGCCTGCTCGGTCCCTACTTTACAGATCTCTCCTACGAAGCAGAAGCGATTTCTTTGGAGGGCCTCTAGCAGTCTGCTTCAGGCTGGAATGCAACAGCGTGTGTCGTGCTACGTTATTAATAGCTCTGGCCCTGTGGCTCTCAAATTCAGCAGCTGATTCATCTTCGGCCACCCAGGGTCCAGCACTCCAGACACCTGGAGAGCTGTGCCACTGAACATGTTTGAATAACCCCCCCCCCCCCCCCCCCCCCCAAAAAAAAAAACAAAACAAAAACACAAGCTACACATGTCTGCCTTTCCACAAAAGAAGGCATGCTCGGAGGGAATCAGAGCCTCCCTCTCACGGCTCCTCCGCATCTGCAGCGCCTGGTCCGAGGTAGTTTAGTTGCACATTAAATGTAGCGGAACGAACGTAATTCATGTCATTGCAAAGAAAGCCAGGGGCTTGGAAAACCCACTCTTGGAGTATCTGGCCAGAAATAACGACAAAGGACACGGGCTAGTAGAGCGCCTATGCTCTGGTCAGACTCCCTGCGTTGGTGGCCCTGTCCCTCCGGGATCTGGACATCCCTAAAAAGTTCGCCTAGCCAGGCGAGAGGCGGTTCCCCCCTCTGAGGCTCGGTGTTTCCGCTGACAGGTGAGCCGTAGAAGGTGGCGTGGTGTGGAAAGCCGCTCGCGAACCGCAGTCCCGGGCGGCTGGAGGGATGGAGGTTTGTGACCATGTGGTTGCCGATCGGCTGCAGGTCTCACCGGGATGGCGGTGATGAAGAAGTTCCAGGGGAGGAGGGTGCCCAGCCCCAGAATGAAGAAGCTGATGCCGACCAGGTGGTAGCTGTGGGGATCAGTCAGAAGGTCACCCCGAGGACGTACGCACGGGCCGCCCTAGCCGCCCCTCGCTAGAACGGACTACAACCCCCATCACCCCGACTCAGGCAGCCAAGGGAATCAGCTCATGGGAATTGTAGTCCCGTTGGTCTTTGCGCCCGGGAGCATCCAGACGAGCGGGAATTGACAGGCTCGTGGCCACCTGGGCCCCGGTGCGCAGCACATGGGGTTCCTCTCACCTGTCCCGAGGGGCGTCTCCGCGCGCCATGGCTGTCGCAGTCCTATGCGCCAGGCCGGGTGCAGGGCGGCTGCATCTGCGCCTGTGCGGGGCTGGGAGGCCGAAGGACGGCGAGGCTGGCCGGTGTCCTGGAATCCCAAGGTCGGAAAGCCGAAGGTGGTGAGAGGGTCCGGGCAGGGCCAGCGGGGACCAGGGTTTGCAGGCTCAGACCTCGGCTCCGCCCCCGGGGCGGGGAAAAGGGGCCTCTGCGCCCCTCCCCCGAGCGCTCCAGTCTCCGCCTGGCGGGCGGCTCTGCTGTAGTGGATTAGGATCCCGCTGCGTGCCGGCTCGGTAGTGGGCAGCTGGGTGTCAAGGCCGCCTCTCTCCTCAGGCCCCAGTCCTCTCCGGGGGCGTCTGTCCCGCATCTCTGGGGAGGTGGGACCAGGACAGCGCCGGAGGGAAGGAGCCGGTTGGTAGCTGGGCACAGCCAGCCCAGCTGGGGGTTCCTCCTCTCTCCGAGGTGGAGCCGCGCCTGCACCCCCAAGGTTTGGAGCACTCCAAGCTGGCTGCTACCCAGTCTGCGGCTTAGGGAGCAAGCTTGGCCCTGAGGGAGAAGCCGGTGTCACCTACTGTCGCAGAGGGTCCGGGCGCGGTGCTCCGAGGGAGGCCCCCAGAGTGGAGGAGATAGCCGGTGCTCCTCCACGGATATGGAAGACGACAAAAAGGCCTTTCTGCGGTCCTTGGGTCCAGCAGGGAGTATTTAACCGTGGCCCAGGAAGTGATGTTAGGCGGCTCCATCCCCGGCGGCACCACTACGGCCGCTTAAAAACATAATTTTCCTGCAATTCCACTCCACAACTCCTTAAACGTTACTGAGACGCTCCCACCTCCCACTGTCACCCCCACCCCGAAGACTGAGAAGATTGCAAATCACAATTTTATAATTTATGCACTGGTGTGGTTTCCCTGGGATGGGGAAAGCGAGGCTTACTGTTTTCCTAAGTTAAGAACATATTTATCTGGGCTGGTAAAGCTCAGCAGGTAAGGTGTTCACAGCCGAGCCTGAAGATCTGAGTTCAAGGTCCAGGCTCCCTGTGTCAGAAGGACTGAAGAGACTCCAGCCAATTGTCCTCTGACCTCCACACAAGTACAGCGACGCACTTGTGCCCCCTCCCAAATAAATGTGATATAAATGTGTTTAAAAGATGGAGTTATTTTTAGATTGTCTGTCCTATGTGCCAACTAGACCATGCCGCTGCTGTTTCTGTTTCATTCCCAGAATCTAGCCACCCTGTTCGGTTCATTGAAGGTGGCTAATAAACGATTAGATCATGGTGGTCTACAGGTGACTGTCTGTGGTGCTGGGAATTGAATCCAGAACCTTGTGAACGTCAGGCAAAGACTCTTAGACCTGAGCTGCATCTGTCGCCCTAGCTGGTGACTTTAGGGAGCATTCACAAGAAAAGGCCGTTACTCTTGAGCTTCCTTTCCATCCTTCCAATACACACACACACACACACACAGAAAGAGAGAGAGAGAGAGAGAGAGAGAGAGAGAGAGAGAGAGAATCTGAATTCTGTTTCAAGGCCTGTTCATCCCCTCTGCACCCAGAACCGGCCTTAGGCCAACTCTTGGCAATTTCACCTACATACACGTTAATCACTTGCATTTTACTCATACTTATTTTAATAATTATTATTGATACCGGTCTCTACTTGATAGTCGTAGGAAGATGAGTCAAAGTGGGACAGGGGGTGGGGACATAGCCCTGGTGGAGGGCTGTGGCGGCAGGCCTGGGCTGGGATGGAAGAGGATGAGGCGTTTCAGAGAAGGAACAGCCTGTACCAGGACTGGGGACAGGAGAGTGCTGGCACACTGTGGGACATACAAATAAATCCCTTCGGCTGGCAGGAGGAAGAGCCTCCCCGGAGTTGGATTTCACTTCAGGTTCTCGACCCAGTCAGACTCTGGGATCCCTGTAGTTAATAACCACTATTTTGCTTCTGTTCTGTGGTGAAGTTGTGCGTGTAACGAAACCCAGGGATGAAGCTTTTTGATGGGGCAGTGGTATCCTAAGGGAGGCAAGGAAGGAAAGCACTTAGTAATAAAAGAAGGACGTGAGTAGGTGGCCGCTCAGGCACGCCAGGCAGTTGCTGCTTAACCCCTCTGTCTAGAGCTCCGCTGGCAGCAACACACAGCAGAGGCACCGAGAGCTGAGTCTTGACTGTCTTGATGATGTGCTATCTCGGAAGAGCAACGAAGGCTTGGCGACACTCCAAGGGAAGCATTGCAGCTGTCCCTCTGCAGACGGTGCCTGAGGCGCCAGGAAACGCTGTGTCTACTTAAGCCCTCCGGACAATGCTCTGTGTGCACATGGCAAGTGGGTTTACAGCCCAGGCTCAGGAAATTATCAGCGTGGCTTTAGAAAACAAATAGTTGGTTTTATTTTTAGTATAGTTTTAGATTTACGAAATACCTGAGCAAATAGGACAGAGGTCTGTGTATGAGCTGTAGCCGCAACTCCGTTTCCCTTATTCAAATCCTGCGTTAATGTGGTATTGTCGTGGTGATGAATGAGCCATACAGAACATTATTAACTGCAATAAGCAATTTACCTTAAAGTTCATTCAGTGCACGTCCTGCTTGCTTGTTCTTTTGCTTTTTGAAAGACAGGATCTCACTCTTGCCCAGGCCAGTGTGGAATTTACAATGTAGTCCAGGCTAGTCTTGAACTCGTGATCTTCTTGGCTTATCAGAATGGGTCTGGGCTCCACTTGTCAATACCCTCTATTTTTTTTTTCTTACTCATTTTACTTATTTGTTATTTATTTTATGTGTACTGGTGTTTTACCTTCGTGTGTGTGTGTGTGTGTGTGTGTGTGTGTGTGTGTGTGTGTCAGTTTCAGACAGTTGTGAGCTGACATGTGGGTGTTGGGAATTGAACCCGGGTCCTCTGGAAGGGCAATCAGTGCTCATAGCTGTTGAGCCATTTCTGCAGCCCCTCATCTTTATTCCATGTGTATGAATGTTTTGCCTTTGTGCTTACATGTGCACCATGTGTATGCACTGTTTCTAGAGACCAAGAGAAGGTGTCAGAGCCTGTGGTGGTTTGACTAAGAATGGCCCCCATAGGCTCATGTATTTGAATTCTTAGTCTTCAGGTGTGGCACTACTTGAGAAGGATTAGGAGGTGTGTTCTTGTTGAAGGAAGTGTGTCATTTAGGGTGGGCTTTGAGGTTTCAAAAGCCCAAACCAGGCTCCAGCACCTCTCCCTTCCGGCTGCCTGGGGATCTGGAGGTAGAACTTTCCTTCTCCAGCACCATGGGTGCCTGCACGCTGCCATGCTTCTCACCGTGATGAGAATGGACCAAACCTCTGAAACTGTGAGCCAGCCCCAGTGAAATGCTTAAGAGTTGTCTTAGTCACGATGTCTCTTCACAGCACTAGAATGCTGGAACTGGAGTTGTGAATGGCCGCAAACTGTCTGATGTGGGTGCTGGGAATTGGACTCTGGTAAATTCCTCCAAAAAGGGTTGAGGTTTTCTTTTTGTTTCATTTTTTTTCCTCATGCCTGTGGGGTCGGAGTGATGGCTCAGTACTTAAGAGCACTTGCTCTTAAGGACCAAGATTCATTCATTCCCTACAATCCACAACAGACAGCTCACAACATCTATACATTCCAGGTCTAGTGGAACCAATGCCTCCTTCTGTTTTGCAAGTAAAATGCTCAAACATATAAAATAAAAAAAAACAAATAACTATGAAAATAAAAACAAACAAGCCCATTCCTGTGCGAATCCCTTCATTTTCTCAAACTGATCTCTTTTCCTAGCAGATAGCTTGTTTTCCAAATTGAAAAGCCTTTCTCTTTTCTTCTCACATGTGAGAGAGAATACACCACGTGTGTATTCATGCTCGCATGTGTGTGCACATGATGTGTGGGTATGCATGTAAGCATGTATTCGCATGTGTATGTGGAGGTTCAAGGTTAGAGTCAGGGATTTTTCTCCACAACTCTTATTTTTCTTTGAGTCAGTCTCTCTCAATCAAACCCAGAACTCACCAATTTAGCTCGTCTCCCTAGTGAGCTTGCTCCAGGGATCCCTTCTCTGCCTTCTAATTACAGATGAGTTGCGTTTCTGTGGGTTCTGGGGATCCCAACTTCAGTTTCTTGTTGGCCCAGCAAACACTTTAACCACTGAGTCATCTTCCCTGCTCAAGCTTCCATTTTCTATAGAATAACTTTGGGTTCACAACAAAATGGAAGCATACAGAGTACCCACACAGGTCTCGTGACAGCTGCCCCGGAGTAGACTTCCTGTCAGTCAGTATTACCCAGAATCCACAGCTTATGTAATGGTTTGCTCTTGGGCTGTACATCTCTGACTTTTATGACACTTTGGGTGACACACATCTACCCTCCCTCCCTGTGTCTGAAGATGTAGTTTGAAAGACATGTGCTGGCAGGTGGGTGGCCCTGGGGCTATGGTTCGAACCTTGGCAGTTTGTTACTTTGTTGCTTTTGCTTTTCTTTTAAGGTAATGTAATTCTCAACCTTCCTCCTGCTGCAACCCTTTAATACAGTCCTCACGTTGCCATAGATCTCAAAAGGACAACTGGAGGAGGTAAAAAAAAAAACAAAAAACTGGAGGAGGTATTGTCTGGATGAGTCCATGTATTGGACACTTAATCCCAGAGGCATTTGAAACATGGAATTACGGGAAGTGCTTGAGTCACAAGGGCTGAGCCCTCAGAAATAGGTATATCTGCTGGGAGATGAATGGACTAGAGGCTCATTTTGGGAGTGGCTTTGAAATGAAGGCAGCTTTTCTGACTCACCTTGCTCCATCTCACCCAGTGATGCCCCTACTAAGTTCTGACCGAGTAAGAAACCCACATTGATGCCAATGACAAGCTCTTGTCCCAAGCACGGTGAGCCAAATAATCTTTTATTATTTATAAATTACCTGGTATCAGGTATTTTGTTATGGCAACAGGAAGTGATGAAGACAACAGATGTTTCTTGACTCAAGCAGGGGCCTCTCAGATGGTCTATTTTTGCTCATTTTTTCCACCCCCATCACTCTGGAAATTTGTGGTGATCTGTAACTTGCATACTGGCTTTTAGTCCTGACTCTGTCTCTTTCCATCTATGAGAACAGAGATGAGTGACTTAATTTCTCTGTGCTTCAGTTTCCTCATCACTCAGAACAGCACTTCTGGCCAGAGACTGTGGCGACTAAATGGGCAGACACAGATAAAGAGCCCAGAACACTCTTACCAAGGACATGCCCAGTGGCTCACCAGGTGAAGGCCTTTATCACCAAGCTTCTTGACCCAAGTGCAGTCCCTGGGATCTATATAGTGTAAGGAGAGAACCAACATCCACAAGGTTCTCTGACCTTCACACGTGTGCCATAGCATGGGTGCACACACACACACACCAAGTAGATGATAAAAGTAAATAAAAATAAGTGTATTTTAAAATATTCTATCAGCTAGGCTCAGTGGCGCACGCCTGTGATCCCAACAGTCTGGGAGGTGGAGGCAGGTGGATCTCTATGAGTTTGAGGCCAGCCTGGTCTACAAAGCCAATCCAGGACAGCCAAGGCTACACAGAGAGACCCTGTCTTGAAAAACCAAACCAAACAAACGAATCCCTGCCACACACACACACACACACACACACACACACACACACACACACAAAAAAAAAAAAAAAAAACTGATTCCAAATTAAGTTCAGGCTCTGTGTATAGGTGTACAGAATTTAAATATAAATTTCTGATCCCCAAAATATCTCGTTATGTAATACAAATATTCCTCAAAATTCCAAACATTTCTGATCCTAAGAATTTTGGATAAGGGAGACTGCACATGGCACATCTTAGGGGGTCCTGTGTCACTCGGCACAGAAGTTGCGGGCTTTTTTTTTTTTTTTTTGCTGTGAGTCTCCCTAGGGCGTAGGCTGGTGTTGAGGTGGGGGTGTCAGCCACTCCACAGCGGTCTCTTCCTTGTGCAGGCTCGTACTTTCTACATATTAAGTTATTTGAGGTTATCCTTGGCCCCAAAATACTAAGTGGAAAACAAGTGAACTTTCAGCGAGTTCTTTTTATATTTATTTACTTATGTGCATGGAATGTCTTTGCATCATATACACGCAGAGCCCAGGGAGGCAGGGAGAGGGCATCAGGCCACCTGCAACTAAAGTTACTGTTGTAAGAACTCAGATCCTCTGAAAGGGCAGCCAGTGCTCGGAGCGGCTGAGGCGTCTTCCAAGGCCTAAGTTATTTTTGTTTAA